ATTTCTCTCAGAAAAGCAAAAGTAAGTAAGTTAAAATACTGTTATGGTGTTTAAAATTTAGTTCGAAGGGTCACGGCACCAAAAAATGTTATGGTGTTTAAAAGTTTTACCTTCTAAATTTTCCTAAGTTACCAAAAGGTACCCTACTAATTGACCATAACACCATAATACTCTTACCACAGAAAAATACTAATAACAATAAGTTGAAAATTTTGCGTTGTTTTTATTCCAGATTAACCCTTAAAATTCATTTGAGTAAAGACTGGTAAAAATCATGAACACACAAAATAAATTTAACCATTGAATGATCTAGAAAACTTATTTATTTAACTATTAAAGCAAATGACTGATATATCCATTAGTTAAAAAAATTTAAATATATTCAACAGAAGTTGTACCATTTGTTTTCACACATCCAACATTTCTGAGTAATTACTTTTTGTATTTCTGTATAACATCCTTGTAGTTATTACTAAATTTAATATTGCAACAACAGGTAAAACATACCAAAGAAAAAATTATACTATAAATTTAAGAACAATAACCTCCCCGGGGAGCAAAATAATAATATACAAAAAAATTTAACAAGTTACACTATCCACTTCACACCTAATTGCTCAATACAAAAATAATATTTCATAATATTGCACTCAATACCATCATTTAAACACTATTAAAGCAAATTTTTAACCTCTCTCTCTATATTTTTTTTTGATTAATTAAATATGGTTTTACCGGACAAAGATATGTAGTGACACCTTTACACTTATACAACAGGTTAGTACTGAGAGGAGCAAGAATGCTCTAATACAGGCACTATTACTAATAAACCTCACCAATCAGTAATACAAACAAAAATTCAATTAAATAATTCCTGAAGAACTTCTTTCTGAAAACTATTAAGTTAAGTTACCATAATTTTAATAAGGCTATAATTCTTATTAAATTTAACGCCTTTATTTAATCGATATACCAAGAAAAAAAAGTATGATTTCTATAGAGTTAGGATAAAATTATCACTTACATCAATTTAGATTCAACAAATTAAATTAAATCAAGCTCCTTTTTTTTTAACTGCAGAAATCTATAATACTTGACTAACCAAGCAATAAACAAAAAAAAAAAAAAAAAAAAGAAAGGAAATTTATCTGTAATTGAGAACAAGACAACCTAAAAAAATGTCCATTGAAGCTCATGAGGACTGCTGCTGTTGAATGGAGAAAAAAAAATGTTCGTCGGATGTATCGTCGAATGCATTACGGTAACCTAGAATTTCGTTAAGAATTTCTTGTTTTTAAATATTGTAACAGTTCCGGATGGGGAGATAGAAAACGAGGAGATTTATGAAGAACGAAGAGGATCAAAAACGGCCAATTCAGTGAATCAGTCCCGGGATTGGAGAGACGAGGAGAGTTATGATGAACAATTCTTCAGACAACTTCGGACATCCTCAGAGGGAAACGACGAGTCAACATCTAGGAGGTCTCAGGAACATTGGTGGTGAAACGGCCAAATCAGTTGATCAGTCCCTTATTGGAGAAAATTTTCAGCTCAGGAATCTGTCGGTGGAAAAGACGAGTCCGACTTCTAAGTGCATAGAAGCAGCGGGTGTTGGAGGAAGCCAGAAGCTAATGAAGCATTTCTATGGTAGAGAACTAGGTAGAGACATGTTTCTAGACGACAATTTTTCGGCATTATATTTCTTGAGAACTTAAACATAATTAACAATGAGGCAAGAAGAATTAGGTGGAGACAAGGATACCCGTAAACCAGGGCCCGCGCTCAAGGCGCACAGGCACGAGGCCCGTAACATTATCGGTTAAGAAAATCATTTTCTCGGCAGAATCTGCTGCCGTTGCGCACAGCAAGAGAAAGGAATTCAAAAAAAAAGCAGAAAACGTGTCAAAAAGTGTGCTCGTCCCCCAAAACAACCCGTTAAAAGGGAGGACGCTGGACTGCCAAGTTGGCACAACCCACTCTTCGCCAAAAGTTAAAATAGTTGCAACAACAGCATTCCCTCATAAAATAAAAACATCTGCCCTGTTAGCAAATTCTAAATCTAACATGCTAACAGATGTAACTAAAACGTATACCAAATTCCTACAAACATAAAATTCAAAAAAATGAAATGTTTAATAAACTAAATTCATCTGTTAGCAAATCCCAAATCCACAACTTTGAAACCTCAACGGAAATTCTACGTCGCCAAACCCTCGCCAAATACACACCCACCTGTGGAAGGGGGAAATTACGAATTTCAACAACCCTGCAAGGGGTCCCAACGAAAGAAACGCTGAAACTCGCAAAAAGTGACTTTTCAACCGGAAAGAGAGCATTTCATCCCCCTTTAACTAAATCACAAGCAAACGAAGAAAAATCTACTAATTAAAGCTCATAACTGAAATGCAATTAAAGTTAGAAAAAACGAAAGTTATGTCAAATTAAAGAGCTAATTTTTCTGCACTAATGATATTAATACTAAGAAATCAAATTAATTTTTGACATGAAAAACTGAGTTATTACGTGAAAAAAATTCACCTATCCATTGTTTGCGTGTACAAGATTGAAGACGCAGTTCGCGTAAACTCGGAAAGCCAAAATATATTACACTAGAATTAATAAGCGAAAAAAGAATATAACCAAACTTGTGTAGCTCAAATTTTGAATAATTACAAATTAAAATTTTGATTTTTATGAATCACTTAATTAAATTAAATTCGCTACACAACATCCCTCCTGTGATAGTGAAAAAAATTTTTTGGCGAAGCCAAAAAAATTTTAGGACCCACAGACAATGGAAAAGGTTTACATAAGTTACTAAGTACGAAGAGAAAAAAAATCAGAGTACATAATGGTACCACATGTTAAGTGCCAAACTAATAATCAACTCAAAACTAGTTGTCACGGAGAGCAGTGATAAAAAAATTAGAATTCAATTACAAAGCACAAAGTTTAAATCAATTAAATTCAAAATCTAATTCCAACTCGAATAACCAATTAAACAGCAGCAGGAGTGAAGTGTCACAAAAAAAATCCATTTGCAAAACAAGTTAACATAAGTACAGAATCCAAAAAAAAAATCACAAGTGAGTGAAAATTACACCTTAACAAATCAGTCAACCAACAGTGACACAAAAAAAATCCTAAAAAATTACACACTGAACTGAACCAGAAGTTGAAACAAACGGAGAACACTCCCAGGAACGGAAAAGAGAAACTTGACCAACAAAAAAAATTAAGCCGAAAGAAACTAGCGCGCGTCTAGAAACAAAAGGAAAAAAAATATGTTATGTTCGTCGAATGCATGGAGTCGTTGAATTTCTTGTGAATATTGCAGTTCCGGATGGAGAGAAAACGAGGAGATTTATGAAGAACGAAGAGGATCAAATGGCCAATTTGGGAAATATATTACACTAGAACTCGGAAAGCCAAAATATATTACACTAGAATTAATAAGCCAAAAAAGAATATAACCAAACTTGTGTAGCTCAAATTTTGAATAATTACAAATTAAAATTTTGATTTTTATGAATCACTTAATTAAATTAAATTCGCTACACAACAATACCAAATAATGCTTAAATGCTAAAAAAAAATTAATCTTAGTTTCGAAATATTTATTTTCTACCGATATTGGTTTACGGTAAAGTACGAAGGGTAAAGATATACAGTAACTCTTCTTCAATAAGCAAAATTATTCTGTGATTCAGCAAAATGTTTTGATGTTATTCAGGACCTATTTGTTTCTTGAAAAAAAGGAACAGATTTTGAAATGACAGTTTTTGGATAAAATGAATTAAGTTTGTTTAAATGTTACTCGGACTGAAATTTCATATTGCTCTGTTATTTTTCCACATAAATGATTGTACTTATAATTAATATTTAGCCTACTTTTTCTGATATATTATATTTTTCTTTAATATCAATATAAGTTTATTGAATACCTATAGCTCATAAATACTATGCAGTTTCATACCCAATAACGCTTGCAACAAAAATATTGTTGCGTGCGTTCGGGCTCATAATAGATTCAACGCACATAACTCCAATGACAGGATGATAAAATTTATTTCATCAAAAGAAGCACTTCAGAGATCTGGAGCTTTCCCCAAAAATAGTGATAGAGTTGTACCACTATACCATCATGATGATGTACCACAATCATCTATACAATATCATAGAGTACAATCAGTAGTTGCATTTCAAACTACTATGAACGTTAAACACAAGGTAGTGCAAAGCGCCCCTAAAGAGAAAGCTCAGTACTCCGAAATCATGACGAGCTAACAGCAACAACAACAACTGAGAGCAGATGCTTTCTTCGGAATTTTATAGTTTTTAGCCGGCCGCCGAGGTATTTCTAGTGCTTTCTTCTTCTCGAAATCATTGGAAGGCAACATAAGATCGAATTACAGCTAACATTGTGATGAGTTACATTTATTCAATTGCAATACTTATTACGGTGATATGGGAACCGGACCAAAATTTCACCGAATGATCATTAAGCTTGGCGACTTTTGGCGAGTTTTTGCCAAATTTGGCGAAATCACCAAGATTCCCATTTACTTGGCTTTACTCCCAAAGTTAAATGGCCTTGTCCCTGCTTTTCACTTATCCGCCATAGCTTTTCTCTCTTGAATTTTCATGTCACATTATACAAAAGAAATACAGCAATTTCACATACAATTACATTAAAACACCCTATCTATGAACAAAATTCGTAACAATATGGTACATATAAAATAAAATTCTAAACTAATCTTTATGGGTTGCTTATTCTTGGAACGTGTCTTTGACTTGCACATTTAAAAACGTTATTTATAAGCGGCTCGAATCAGAAATCATGTAATAGGAACCTGATCGATAGTGTAATTGGATCGAGTTTTTACAATATAAATGTATTTGTTATTTTCTCTTATTATTACTCATTTCTACAGTGTTATTGTTAAATAAAACATTGAGAATTTTTTACCTTTCTAAAGAAATGCATATGCTTACAGGGCACTATTGTATTTCTCAAGCCTATTCATAAAAATCGGATTGAGATCAACCGACCGTTGCTGCTGGAAATCAAAATGGTAAGTAAAGGAAGTTTTGTCTTTAATTAAAGCTTGACTATTAAAATAAACAAAAAAGCATAAAAAATTTGAATGATTATGTAAAAATTTTAATTTAATTCTAATACAATACGGCACAAAATATAATTTGTTTAAATAAAGAGTAGATAAATTCTGTCTAATGCCAGTGAAATAATGGAAACAAATTTAGTTAAATTAGTTTGAATTGTGAAAATTATAAACCTGGACATAACTTACCTTTGCGTTGAAAACATTTAATTAAATAAATTTTACTTTGGTAAGCCGACTATTTTTTTCTGTTGCTAGTGCCGGACAAAAATAAAAGTATGTAACTTTTATGCTGTGAGAACTGGCTAATTGATCTAAACACGATTAATCAATAAATCATAACTTTAAATGTTATTAATTCATTCGAACATTCAACTTCATTAAATCAGTAATATAAAGATGAACTAATCTTCACTGGCGCCTTCAAAAATAAATTTATTTTCAATGTCAACTGGAATTCTAAAATTTATTCCATTTCCATATTCTAAAAATTAGTTATCTTTTTCACAGAAATGAATACTCAAATCACAAAACACCAGAAAATAAATGCCATGTATGAAGATCGATCAATCAAGTTGATGGAAATAATAATAATTAAGTAAATTCAGTTATAGTTAACTATTTCATCGTCACTCCTTAATAATCAAAATTTTTAGAAATTGTGTTGTGTTCCCAAATATTACATATAGTTCCATGTTTCTAGAACATACCTGTCAAACAAAAGGAGTGATCAATGATCAACATAGACAACTAGCTAAACAAAAAACAGACTCAAGAGTTAAAAATTAAACATATTTATTAATTTTTCGATTAAATAAACTTCAAGGCTTTGATAACTGGCCAGGTCACTACAACATTTTCCATCTCATTTAGTTACTGAAATTGCCCTGTTTCAAACATTTTTCCAATCCTATCAAATTTTTAACAGTTTGTATTAAGTTAAAATATACCTTACAAACCTTAACACTTACCTTAACACTTATTTTAAGTTTATACCACCTCCCTATCCTTCCTAGCTTCAGCTTACACCTCCCTACCAGAATGAGGTTTTAGAATTGCGTTAAATGCAAATGAGAAGTAGAATAGTATTAAAGTCAAGTTCCACTGACTTCGCCAGAGAAAGTTAAGGATTCCTGAATAGCGCATGTTTTTCCTTTGGGCTACTTCTCTATAAACTGTTATTACGCTCGGCTGTATTACGTGCCTTTTGATAGCTTCTCTGGTTTATTTAAATATTACGTGCCAAATAGTTTAGAATTGTGTCGCTTCTGCTAAATCTCTTTAGTTAGTTCTTCTTTCTTACATTTTGAGTTTAAGCCCAAGTGGAGGCTTTCTGTTCTCCCTGAAAAAGACTGTTAAATCCTTATTTTGAGCAAATAAAGGGAAATTAACCCTTCTTGATTTTACGTTTCTGTTCTTGGACTTAAGAGATTAGTCGCTTAGCAGTTCACTAGGTTCCTTGACATTACATTTAACAAGGTAAAAGTGAGGAACTCTACAAGTTAATTAAGATTAATACCATATTTCCTTAACCTTGTTTAAGAATCCTCGATTTTCGCATTTACAAAATTTAGAATTCCTTTTGCACCAATCAGTTTACGAAATTAAATAAAATTACCCTCATTTGATAATAAAAGCTATGGCAGCCATTTCCTAATGATTTTCCAAGGTAGTTCAGTGTATGAAGTGAAGTTCAGTGTTCCAAGGTCCATCAGTGTCTGAAGTGAAGAAAGCAATTGCACTTTGTACAATCCATGTTCCCCAAGAATCAGAACCTTCAGTATCTTTAGAGAGAATGATGTGACAAAGCAAAGTCCAGTTCATTTACAGCTATCAAAGAACATGAAAGCAGTAGACACCGGAGACCTAAGATATGCCTAAAAATTGGATTTTAAGCAGCCATGCGGGAACTCGCGTCTATTCCCATACTTTTAAAAAGACAAAATTTAAATTACTAATTATCCTTTCTTTAGTGAAATTCATACCTCCTCTCAATAGTTGACTTAGCGCTATCTTATCGCACCGATGTTTGAGTCTGCAAACGCCGAACTCAGACGAGAACGCAGTGGAAAGCAGGAGTCGAATCGTGACAGTCCATGTAATAGTTTGGTCACGGAAGTCATCGCTGTTCTTTCCCTACGCTCTAGAAATTTCCGTCCAATCTGAAAGCTATTGCTGTGCAACTTCCGGGAAAAACTAGCTTTTTACGTTATCAAAATACGCGTTTGAAATTTATATCTGAAAAGTTTTTACTGACATCAAACCAAAGCAGATTTTAAATTCACAGTTATGCCTTCGAAATTTTCAAGTTTTAATACTACGATATTTAAATATAAATTAAACTAAATATTTCTTATTGCATTCCTCGTTTTATTAAAACTTTTATATATTATCATAACATTTTAATTTTACAATCATAAATTAATAACAGATCATTTGCTTAATCATAAATTAATAACAGATATAATAATAGACATAGTACAATGTAATATAATAATAGACAATAGTTCAATATAATAATAGACATGGTTCAAGTAAAGAAAAAGAGCTGAAACTTAAAACAAAAGTTAGGAACATTTACGATTAGCATTTTTGTTTGAATATTAATTTCACATTTTAGAGTTACTTTGTTAAGTGTTAAAAGGTACTATGAAATACTTCTAAAAATGACAAAAATTTTATAATGTTCCTGTGATAATATTGTTCTGTCCTACTACTTCGAGAGAGCATATGCGGAGTATAAACCCTAATTATTTTACCATTTACTAGCGGAAGGAAGGATTTTATCCTTTTATAATCTTTTCAAAGCACATTACTCCGTTTGTCATGGTCAACACTCCATCGATTTTCTCACAGAAATTGTATCCACTTAAGTATATATATATATATCCGCGAAAAATATACATTATTAACAATGTATGTTTGAAACTCAGTATTCTACTCAACAAAGCCTTTGATGGGATCACAGGATTCAGTACGACACGAAAATATTTCTTAAGCATTTTATACTATCTCCTTGTTTTATTAATATCAAAGAGTCTGAAGTTTATAGGGTTTAAACTAAATATGCCCTCAGATAAAAATGTGAAGAAATGAGGCTTTCCTTCCAAGTTGTTATTGGGGCGCAATAAGTAAATAAAAACAACATAATTTTGCAATCATGATGTTCGCACAAAACAAAATATTTTCTTGCCCATGGGCAAGGAAACATGTTATTTTGTGCAAACCATCATTCCAAAACCTTTTCTTCTGTATAAAGGCATTAAAAATAATACGAAGATTTCTATTTCTCTTTCAATTGAATAGTTATTTAAACTTTGTCTTTTTACTTCATTATCGAAAGTAAATTTTGTTAGCCTTTGGTTTCCCCATACTTTCACAAACCACTTTTTCCTGACTTTCAACTCTTACGTAATCCTCTGTACTTATTTATGAAGTTCGGCTACAGTGAATATTTCGCCCCTTCTCCTAGTTTTCAGAATTTCTGTTTTATTTTTAGATTACTTTATTCGACTGTGTATATCGACATTTTGAAATACTGTCTGTAATATCTTTGCTTAGGCCATATAAGGGAAATACGGATTTTTTGTATTTGTTGTTTGCTTTGTTCTATTTTTGTAAATATGTACTGTTATTATGTCAGTTTTAGCTTATTAATTCTTCAGATTCGTTCCTGGACAACAACAACAACAACAACAAAAAAAAAAAAAAAAAAAAAAAAAAAAAAAAAAAGAGTTTTCATTCAAAAAAGAGTTAACATTAACTTTTCCTCTCAGCTGAAGGTTTTTACTGATAATAAACATACTAAGGGCTAAAAAAACTTCCTTAACTCAAGTGACCTTTGTTGCTGTTATCTTAAGAAGATTTCAAGTACTTCTCCTAACATATGTTTTGCAGCTTGCTTTTTACCGCTATAACATCAATATATTATCTTTGCATATATTACATATTTTGTTCTTCAGTAAAGTTATGCAATAAGTACCAATTATCCATTTACAATGAAACAAGTGATTTCGTTCGTAATTCAGAGCGAATTGTACTATGCGACATCAAGACTGCAAAGACTGCATTTGAGCAAATTTTCAGCTTGCGTATCATATTTTGACTTCATATATAGCCGGAACACTGTTAATGCATACTTAGATTCATATTGAAGAGGAAGATTTCTGATTGCGTCGTATGCTATTATGTTGACTTGGTAATATCTAAAAAATTTGGCAGTCGAGGCAGTTTTAATTCGATTTTTATTTTCCAGTTGACGTTTGTGGCCACAATCACTTGGCACCCTAGTCGTGCTTGTTCAAGAAAATTTACCTTATTGATATTGTTGAGATAGAAAGCAGGCCAGCAAAATTACGTCCTAGCAAAACAGAGAGCGAAGCTAAAATGCGTCGTTAGGCAATGAAGAGAACAGTTTTGGTGCCTCGTTATTACGTCATCAGAGCTGTACAGGCCATAGAATGATCTAGAAATGACCCAATCCAGAGAAGTTATTACGATTTTTAAAACAGAGATCTATATAAATCAAAATTATAAAAACATTTAAATCAAAATTATAATTTAAACTATAATTTTGATTTACATATTTTTATCTTACACACACACACACATATATATACAAATATTACATGTATATATATATATATGACCTCACAAGACCTTTTTGTTTAGTTCATAAGTTTTTCTTGTATATACAAACATGCATTTGCAAGATTTACAAAGAAGTAGAGAAAATAATTTCCATATGATAACTAAATAAAATTATTTAAAAGAAAATCAGCTTTACATAGCATTTTTACGATTATGGAGTAAGTACAGAATAGTACTGTAATTCTTCATATTTGTAAGAAAAGGTTTTTGCATTAAGAGCATGCATAGCCGTTAATTTCAGTGAAAAAAGTTTTTTGACAATTTTTCTCGAATTGGTAACATTTTTATAATCTTTTTCATGA